ATTAATTTTCTCAGTTTATCGCGTTAAAAATATTTAACGCAGGGGCGGGGCTAGGGTTGGCCACCCCACTCACAACTGCTGCTTCTGTCACTTTTTCTCTTGACAAGAAGATCATTTATTCAGTCGCAGAATGACTGAGAAAGGGAGACGTTTCAGACGCATGCTCCACTTCACTTCAGCACCAGGCGAGAGTCAAGCGAGCGCGGAAAAAAAACGGCTCTTCAATTGCAGGGACAAAGGCGCCGGCGCGCGCTGTAGCCTGTATCCTTTCATATCAAAGCGCGAAATAAACTACGTGCATGCAATGTCGTGGTCAGTTAAGTCATGAAGTTACCAAAAAGGCGATTAAAGCTGCCTTAAACTGTGCATGCATGTAATATATTTTATGAGTCACAGTTAAGAACATGTCTCTGAAATGGTTTTCAAAACTGTCCTGGAGCAGCCCAGCACTGTCTCACTCATCTAACACACCCGATTTAACTCGTCAGCTCATTAATAGAGACTTTAAGACCTGAAGTGTGTCAGAAAAGGTAAAAAGATTTGAGAGAAAATATGATGCGTGTCAGATCTGCGTCACGTTCAGAAGCGGAAGCTCTTAAAGGTCCCATATTTTACACCTTTCTGGAGTTTTATTTTAGGTTTTGTTGTCCTTAAGAATATATATTTGCGGTATAAGTACCAGAAGAAGATTGTTTTAAGTTCACTTAAATAAGAAGTTATTTTTTAAAGTGTAATAAATGTTAAAATTGATAGCTCTCAATTATACTGTAATGTTGGAATGTTAGGTGTGATAAATCGCGATTAATTTCAGAAAAATGTGTGATTAGTTTTTTTTTTTTTAATCAATTGACAGCACTTATATATATATATATATATATATATATACACACACACACACACACACTTGTGCACATAAGTTTACATACCCCTTGCAGAATATGCAAAATGTTAATAATTTTAACAAAATAAGAGGGATCATGAAAATTGCATGTTATTTTTTTATTTAGTACTGTCTTGAATAAGCCATTTCACATAACATATGTTTATATATACTCCACAAGACAAAATAATAACTGAATGTATAAAAATGACCCCCTTCAAAAGCTTGCATACCCTTGAATATTAATACTGTGTGTCATTAACTGGATGATCCACAACTGTTTTTATGTTTTGTGTTAGTTGTTCATGAGTCCCTTTTTGGTCCTGAACAGTTCAATTGTCTGTTGTTCTTCAGAAAAATCCTCCAGCTCCTGCACATTCTTTGGTTTTCCAGCATCTTTTGCATATCTACCCCTTGCAGAATATGCAAAATGTTAATAATTTTAACAAAATAAGAGGGATCATGAAAATTGCATGTTATTTTTTTATTTAGTACTGTCTTGAATAAGCCATTTCACATAACATATGTTTATATATACTCCACAAGACAAAATAATAACTGAATGTATAAAAATGACCCCCTTCAAAAGCTTGCATACCCTTGAATATTAATACTGTGTGTCATTAACTGGATGATCCACAACTGTTTTTATGTTTTGTGTTAGTTGTTCATGAGTCCCTTTTTGGTCCTGAACAGTTCAATTGTCTGTTGTTCTTCAGAAAAATCCTCCAGCTCCTGCACATTCTTTGGTTTTCCAGCATCTTCTGCATATTTGACCACTTTCCAGCAGTGACTGTATGATTTTGAGATCCATCTTTTCACTCTGATGCACTGATGCTTAAGAAGGCAACACGATGCATTAAGAGCTGGAGGGTGTAAACTTTTTGAATTGGATGATCAGGGCAAATTTAACTTCTTTTGTCTTCTGGGTCACATGTATGTATTTATGTAGCTTCTGAAGTGCAGTACTAAATGAAAAAAATATGATCTTTAATCAAAATAAGAAAAATTTACACATCATCATCCTGTTCAAAAGTTAAAGGGTATTGTAATCGTTAAAGGGTATTGGCCTAAATCGAGCACAAACAGATACAATGTTCATTTTAACGGCACAAATCAAGCACATACAAATGCCACTGTTTTGGAACGATTTAAACTACAGTACATGGGGTGGAGATTGATGTAACTGTTCCTAAAAAGTTTTTTCATTATATTTAAGAAGCAGTCATAGTTACAAGGTTTCCTTTTAATGGAACGAATTGAGCTCAAACAAACGACACCTATTTGGAAGGATTTGGATGGAATGAATTGAAGAGTGACGTCACAGCTCCCGAAAACATTTTTGCTATAGCTTAAATGAAAGATTTTATTTAAGATTTCTTAAATGAACGCAACTTGCACTGACATTTCTTAAAATATGTCAGTGCCACTGATTTGTGTCAGGATGTACACCAACAAAGCTTTTTTTCTAAGGCACATTTAAAAAATGACTTAAATGTCCTAATTTAACTAGGGCCTAATCCTGGCTTAATCTATGCCCTGTCTGTGAAACCAGGCTTTAATGTTTTAGATTTGAATCCCTCCATTGGTATCTATTTTATTCCTGCATTGTGGCTGAATTAATTTTAGTTTAAAAATGTGCTCTGTTACGGTTGTACCAGTTCATAAGTGTGTGTGTATTTTGCACTTTATTTTCTTTAGAGTTTAACACATTCATTGCCATGTGCTTTTATTCTGCAACATGGCTGATTAGTAGATAACTACTACCCCCCCCCCCCCCCCCAATTTTGCCTTCACCAATCGTGTCCGATATTTCTTTGTATGTTCTCATAGCAAATTCTAAAGAAGTAAAACATAAACATAGCAAAAGACTACCCACTGCACTTTGTTTATCCTGAAACTATGGGGTGGTGGTGGCTCCGTACTTGGGTCTTCATTGCTGCTTGCAGCTATATTTTAAATATTGCCATTGTGTGAAAACAAATTTGGAAATTTTTACCTGTCTAGTCAGTTTTAATTTAATGATAGCTGGGCTTTAGTTACTTTTACCTACCTTTATTTTCTATTTCCAGGCTCACTACATTAAGGCTGCAGCGTTCAGGAGCGCTGGCCGCAATGAAGAGGCTCTACAAGAGTATTTCTGCTGTTTGGCTCTTAAGTCTGATTGGATTGCCGTAAAACTGGAGGCCCAAAAGGTACATTAATATTTGTTTATTTGCAAATGTCAATCTTTGTGTGGTAAATCCGTTGTGTGATGGTTTCTCTTCTAATTTGGATGTTAATTTTAAAGCTTAAACCCTTAGTTTTATTAATTTATGAAGTGGTCAGTGTTACTTTTGTACAACTTTTGCTGTCTATCTACAGATCCTGAGTCACATGGTCTCTTCGGTCTTTGTGACTGATGGTCTGGCCACGTCCATGCAGCCCCTTCCAGCTGGACCCTCCTCTCGTATCAAACCTTCATTCCTCCTCAGCTCTCTTCACTCCTCTCTTCCTAGAGATCGAGCCAAAGAAGGCTGCTCCAAGGTTACTGTGCTTAGATACAACTGATTAAACAATTGCACCGATTTGTTACAATGGAGATATTATCACACTGAATATTTCTAAGACTAGTTTTGATTCGCAAAGCAATTTTAGATTCCTAGCATAGGATCATAGCACCATCAAAGCTAAATTATTATTTTTTTTGTATATGTGTGTTAGGAACCAACACTCAGTTGCAGCAAGTTCAAAGATGGGAACTCTTCTATTTTACCAAGATCTGAAAACGTGAACTCTGGCCTCTCTTCACCTTTTGTTCAACCAGTCCTAAAAAGGAAATGGACAGAAGATGCTAAGGGCTTTGAGCCACCCAACAAACAGCTTAAAGAAGGTATAAAAGTCATGGTTTAAACCCATGATTTATTCATTTGGAAAAAATAGATCATTACTAAGATCTCTGGCGGGTTGTACAAACTTTTTTTCTCTCTGTCTCTGTTTCTCTCTACTTGCTTTGTTCCCAGATAATGCATCTTCATGTAAAACTCTCCCTACTTTTTCTGGGGAGAGGCAAGTTCCATCACAGCTTTTGGACAGTGCAGACTTTGAATGTTCTCTCTGCATGAGGTAATGATACATTTTCTCTTTGAAAATAACACTTAACTTGGCAAATATCTAAATCCTCCTCACTAATGTATTATTCCAGACTGTTTTATGAGCCTGTCACCACACCCTGTGGACACACATTCTGCCTCAAGTGTTTGGAACGCTGCTTGGACCACAACCCTAACTGTCCCCTGTGCAAGGAGAACCTCTCTGAGGTAAATATCAATACACTTGCAAAACAGTCTACACACAACACTAGCGTAGCCAGGAATTACAATGTGGGTGGGCCCAGAGAAAATTGGGTGGGCCTAGCCTAAAATACATCTGTGATCAAAATAGGCCAGCACAACTAACAGTTACACCTGCTTGAATACACATGACCATTTAATCCGAGCATTATAAGTAGTGATGGGCAGTGGTGGAAAGAGTACTGAAAAAATATACTCAAGTAAAAGTACCATTACATTAGTGAGAGGGAATTTACCGAACGTGGCACTTGCGTGAGTTAAGACTGTATGCAATACCCGCAACCTCACACCAAATTTCAGGCCGTGTAGATAGGCAAGCATATATACAAATCATTTAGTAAGCAGAAATCCGAAATTTACCGTAACATTAAGGTAGAAGAAGATGCGACTGAATTGATGCTTGAAGAATGCGCTTCCAGCAGCCATGATAAACAGTTGGCGGTTAAAGTTTTCTATGCACAATTTGATTTGACGAAAGTCACGAGACCTATTACTATCTATCCAATAAAAATAAAATTAAAATAAGCATGTAATGACCGCAAACGGAGGAAAATAGCGGAGTAAAAGTACCGATACATCACTTAAAATGTACTCAAGTAAAAGTACAACATTTTTTAACTACTCAAAAACTTACAATTACTGATAAAAACTACTTAATTACCATAACATGAGTATTTGTAATTCGTTACTTCACACCCCTGGTGATGGGCAAATGAAGCCTCGGCTCGTGAAGCACTAAGACTTTCCTCTGACTCTTTCGGGAAAAGATTCAAAGTTTCGAGTGAACCACCATCTGGTGGTTAATAAAAATATAGCAGCCAAAAGCCTGTGAAAGACGCTCCGTAGGACGAGGCATCTACCACATATTCCACATATCAATTCAAGTTACGTGCACAAATAAAAGCCTAACAGTGTTTGTGTTTGTTGAATTTGTCTCTGATAAATTCATTTACCCATTAAACTCTGCAATTTAATACCAGTACAAATATCAATATGATGTTATAGAAGAATAATCTACACATTTGAATTGCATATGACAAATATTTAATTTTTCTGAAATAATTTGTATTCTTCATATTACTTGTAAGACTGGGTATCTAAAATGTAACTGAATAAGTCCGAATTAAAACTTACTCGTAAAGTAAGATCTGGGGATTCGAACATTCCGACACGCAAAGTGAATCACGCACGTGACTGGACAGAAAGTGAAGCTTAGTTTGTCATTGGTCACGTGATTTCTATGTTAACAACACAAGCTTCGAAATGAGGCTTCATCTGGCACGCCGCTTTATTCTCGACACAAGCTCCGATGCCTCGGTTCAAATGTCACATCACTAATTATAGACCCTTTTAGGGCCAACAGGGCCAACGCGTCACCGCACTAGCTGGAGGCAAAACAAAGGGGAAACTGGAGGCGGCCAATTCAAACCATTCAAACCAG